TCCATGTTCCCTGTCTCTGTGTAGTGCGTGTCTTGCCAGTAGCAGCAGCAGTGTGTGCAGCACGGCAGTGCGTCGTGGTCTCTTGCGTGCGTGTAGTTTGTTGCCCAAAAGAAAAACAAAAATGACGCCTCCCGGGGATGCGTCCAAGTGCATATATATTTGCACATACGGTGTGCTATCTCGAGACACCGACCACGGANCATCCAAGTGACATATATATTTGCACATACGGTGTGGTATCTCGAGACACCGACCACGGATTGCACAGGTAGCGGTTGGGACAGCTCGGGCAAAATGTTCCTTGTTGTGCGCAAGTTTAAGTTTGCAATTTGGTGCCGAGATGGTGAAATGGGCTCGAGTCTGCTGGGTATTTAGGGCGCGCAGACAGACACCAGACACCAGACAGACACCAGACAAACAGCCATCGCGTAATTTTCACGCCCAGGTGCATGAAAATTATTCTTTTTCTCGTGCGTACACACCACACGCCCCTCTAAACAAAACAAAAAGCGTACCCCTATACGGGTCACTCTTTTCACAAAAAAAAACTATTAAAACAAAATTGTGTTTATTATGCATGCGTGGCCAATGGCCATCAGACAAGCCAAACATGATTTCGCTCCTTAAGTCTAACCCGGTCAATTTACCGAGTACCCCCGAGCCCAATTACCTAAACTTCAAACGACCCGGCGGACGATATACCCAGACCGGGTATTGGGAGAGGCGGCCATACGTTCCCGGTCACGGGTACCGGTCCAATGAGCCCCAGCTCCACAACAAGGCCCCAGAGTCACAACCGTGCATGCATGTGAAATAGCAAGGCCACGACCAGACCGTGTGTTTCAAAACAGAACTATACTAGCCAAAGTGCGTACAGAACATCACAATCAAGCCGATGTTGGGCAAAAAAGCCTTGACACACTCCGACGCATCGGACACCTGCTTGAAGTAGTAGCCATTTCGGGAAGAACATGTGCTCACAAACGTCGATATAGTCGATTTCAGCATAAAATAACTCGTTTCCGCTTACACTCTCCCTGGCTGCCAGTGTCCCGGCCAGTCTCCACTCAATGTTGAATCATTGGGCTTCTGCAACGAGTACCGCATGAGAGCTACGAGACGACCGATGTTTGACGACAACGTCCCTGAAAATACGTCAGCACCGGCCAACATACGCAACTCGGCAAGGAGAAGCACCATCGCTTCGTAGGTCTGGAACAGTGGCACATTCGCAGCAGTGGAGCAGTACAAAGAAATCGTAGGAGCGCTGTAAATGCTCAGATTGTTGGGTTTGAACTGTGGGTACAACAAGTTGGCCGATGCGCGCGAGACGGTTCACCAAGTGCCCGAGGCTTCCCGGTAAAGATGTGGCGGGCTCTTCTCCACCTGAACATATTCATGGCGGTGCTAGAATTCCTTTCTATCAGATTTTAGTATAAGGAAAGGGATCGTCTTAGTTCGGGAGTCTACAAAAGTGTGCTTATATTGCGATCCACGGTGCCTGAGTCGAACGTTCCGGGATGCAAGAGCGCCACTGGTACGCGGTCAGTGACACTTGTAACAGAATCCGGCGTGGTACCTGGGAAGTACCCTGAAGCCATCTCCTTCACCTGTATCAAGACGCAATCATTGTTTCGGAAGCACAGAGCAGGAGGGCATGT